CCCAAAAAAAAATATAACTTCATGCAAGAAGTGAGATGAAAGTAGAACGCCAATTGGTTAAATGTCTTAGCTAACCTCAGATGAGAGAGGGACAGCAAAATGAAAAGACAGCTAAGCCTAGGTAACGAAATATTTTCGAATAAGAAGGTTACTTGAATGCCCTGAAAATTTTCTACGTGAACGACTTAAAAAGCAAATGGCTGAAATAAACAAATGAATAGAAAGCAGTGAATCTAATAAAAAATAGAAAAAAAAATATAATCTAAGACAATATACCAAATAAATAGTGACAACGATAATAAATTTAAAAGACGGCTAACTTGAGATAGAGTAGGGAAATCAGAATTTGAACACAGATGAAAAGAAAAAAAACAGCTAAAGTTGGGTACCGAAATTTGTTAATAAATAGAAGCAAATGATAGAAGAAAATTGTCACGTTGAATTGGGATTTCAACTGCGACATGGCTGAACTGCTAAGAACTATTCTCTGTTAACTAAATGAATGACATAGAATGTAACTAAGCAGACGAATACTCAACTTCGAATGAGTAATTGGGAAAAGCGAAATAACATATTCTCAAACTGACATTGTTCAATGTAAGGCGAAGTATGTCCGATGATAATGAAAGAAGTAGCAGGCTGTATTCGATAACATATATTCTACTTGTTGACATTAATGAGATTTCAAAAAAATGTATGTTTTAGTATTCATCAGTACTTACAAGTGCACTTAAATGACTACAAGTATGCAAAAAGTAAAAGCCTATTTCTACTTGGATGAATTTCCCAAGGAAAAATTTCAGGATATGGTAGTGATCGATACGAAAAGGAAATAGCTGCAATTAAATTGCTCAAATATAAGAATTCATAATGCGCTTAGTAGATCAAACTAATTATCGACGAAACAGCTTGCTAGAAGCAGCAACTAAGATCTCAATCTCTGATGAGCTTATTGTCTTGATGAATCAAAGATAGCATACAGATTGGAGATAGAACAAAAATCTAGAATAAAAAACTATCTGAAATGTCTGAAACTGATCGACAGAAAAAGTTACCCGAAATTGAAAACTTAGCACGATTACGCTAATCAAGATAAACGATTCGATGGAACGATCGATTCAACTAAATAAGAAAAATAGCTGTACTGCATAGAAGAGCATGGCACGGTACGTGTGAATAAAAAACTAAGATTCAGAGTAGTAACAAGGCAAAACTAGAAAAATAAATCTAACTTAGCTCAACGAATCGAATGAAAAAGGATAACTTGAGACAATGATCAAAAACTGAGCAGCAAGGTGTTATTAGATGAGTGAAAGAAATATTCTGATGTACTGCTACCACACAACATTTAAACAAAATTAGCTCATGAGAGAAGCCACAGATAGCTTGTTAAGATAAGTCACTAAAATAAATAAATGACCTAAGTACTTCTATGAATAAAATGTTAAAGTTCATTAAAGAAATAGAAATTAATTTTTATAGCTTTAGGAAACTGAATGAATCAAACTAACAACAAAACAGTAAATGTGATTTTAGTAACAAAAAAGAAACCGTTAGTGTCCGATGGCAATTTCAAAGATATTTAAGCAGTTTAAATACAGCTACCGGGAATAAGTGAAAATTATTTAAGAATGAAACAAGAAACGGCTGAAGCTAGAATCAAATAACTAATAAAACTGAAATAACTTTATTTATGTTACTGTTAAACGTTTGACGACATCAATCGAGAAAAAGCAGCATGCGGTTAGTTTGAACTAACTAAGCTGTATATGAAAACTTTTATTGAAAAAATTAATGTTTTTTTTCTCAAACAACGTGTTAAAAAGGTTCTTAACTTTAACAAGACTAAGCATGAAAAATTTCATTGCAACAAACGATCACTTCTTCGTTAATCCCAACGTTTAAACGTTCTGAATTTTAACGAAACTCAGCCTCATAAATTTCATTGCATGAAACGATCCCTTCTTCATCAATCGCAACGTTTAAACGTTCTCAATGTACACAGAACTCAGCCTCGGAAATTTCATTACAACAAACCATGACTTCTTCATCAATCCCAGCGTTTAAACGTTCTGAATTTTAACGAAACTCTGCCTCAAAAATATCATTGCAACAAACGATGACTTCTTCATCAATCGCAACGTTTAAACGTTCTGAATTTTAATAAAACTCAGCTTGAGAAATTTCATGGCATCAAATGATTACTTTTTCTTCATTCCCAACGTTTAAACGCTCGGTGTTTAAAGCAAAAAACACGTTGATATTTTTTGAACGCAGTATGTTCATAAATAGCTGTGAAGCTGGCGTTTAAACGCTTCAAATTAGTGAATTAAAAATGGTATATATATTAAGCGGAAAAAACGGGGAATTTACTTCTGTTTGCAGCGTTAACGCGGTCAGTAATGATTAATGAAAGAATGATAAGGAATATTGTATGGGGAAACGCGAGGAATTCATAGTTTCTGATGGTTTACACGCGTGCGGAATTTTCTGTGCGTTTACACGGTGATAAAACTGAGTTCCATTGCGTTTACACGGCTTTAAAGATTTAATACAGATAAAGTGGGCGGCTACACGCACGATAATTCAGGAGTTACGGCGTTTACGCGACCACTTTTTCCCACACGCGTTTAAACACTCAGAAAAGGCTACTTTACGGTGTTTACACGCGTGTTTGAGAAAGTTTGTCTGCTTGGGTATATGGTATTAATTCACATTATTCTTCCAGATGAGTAGAAGTATTCTGCCGGATGAGTAGAAGGAGAATGGCTATCGTATGTTAATAAATGCAAAGTAAAATTGAAGACACAGAACGAGCGTTTTTTTGTCAATAAACGATAATATTTATCTGTTCTTCCCTATTGAGTTCTATCATATCCTATGTTTTTAAAGTGCAATTAAACTCTTGCTGAGTTGATCCCAGGTAATCAAGCCCTTATTGTAAACTTATATTAGTTTGTATGCTTCTGAACCGCTGCTCACAGAAATAACGAAAATAAGATAATCATTATTGATTGAAAACTTAGAGAGATATTTGTGAAAAATTATCCTGCTTAAAATATACGTATATCCCGAAAAACTAATTATAGAAATATTCTTCGGATTCATATTCTTGTGCATATGAGTTAATAGAAAGCTGACGTATCCATCCAAAGGAATTAGATAAATCAATTTTTTCCAGCTGCTACTTTCTAAACCTAATATGATTACACAATAACATTTCCTGCAATTAAAATAACGTTGCGACGAAGGTGTGGCATGCCGGACTTGTGGATACATTTTCGCACAAACACAGCTTCGTATTTAAAGTATTTATCTTCATTAATCAAACTATATAACTATATGTTTAACTGCGTTCCAGAAAGCAATGCATCCAAACGTTTTTCCGCAAATTTGACAGATTGAAAGAAGCATACAGTGAAACTCATTTTATCTAATGTGTCAATGAAATAACGTTAAGGAAAGAGACATAGCTTCAATTCACTATTAAACATGATCAAAGGCACATAATGATATAAGTGTTGTAACGATAAGATTGTTTTATTGTGATATCGAACTGTTTTATTTCAATCATCCTTCTATTTTTAGTTACACTTTCTTTCCCCGAGGCGCGTCACTCAACCGGAGAGAACGAGAAAGAACACGACAAGGAGGAAGAGAGATATACACGTCAAATAGGATAGATGAGTTTGAACACATAATATATAGCATCAGTGTGTATAGAGGAGAAAGTCGCTATGTACATTAATTAAGATAGAATGAGTGTTTATATCGGCACAAGTGTCCCATGTTGGAAAAACCGGAGTAAAATTGACGGTTTACCGCGGTTTTACCGCTCCGGTTACCGGCTCCCATCAACACAAATTTACCGCGGTAAACCGGGGAGTTTCGGGAAACACCGCGGTTTACCGCCGGTATTTTTCGATTAACCGGTTCTCTGAGCGTTTATAAAAAATTATTGCTAAAAGTTATTGATCCGGCTATTTTAGGCATCTTTTTTTCCTATATGATGACGGTAAAAAAAGGGTACCGGAAAAACTAGCGGTTAACCGGAGCGGTATTACCGCTCCGGTTACCGGCTCCCATTTCATACAAATTTACCGCTTTTCTAAAATTATCGCGGTTTACCGCAAAAATTGAAGCGGTATTCGCGACATGGGGCGTCTCAAAGTGTCTCAATCTAAAGCCGCTTCGGAACGGCGAAGATTTGCAACACAGACGTGTCTAGTTACGTCAAAAATACGTTTCATGATTACATGGGAACATGCATAAAGTATTATCACAACTCTGTGATAGTTTCGCCCCAACGTACGTAGTCATACATCTCACTTCTTAGACAGTTCTCAATAGAAGCAGTCAAATCTATAATTGAGGCCTTTTCTTCCTAGAGAATAGTATAGAAGAAAAACACTCATACACCGACTATATTAACATCCATTTGTATACTTTTATAACAAGTTCAAATAAAATACAGGCAATAAAAAAGCATTGTTTCAAAAAAAAATATATATATGGTTTTCTTCGATCTATATCATCAACTCAATAATCCACGCATTTGAGAAACTCCACAACAATCATGATGTATTTCACAATATTCCTTAAACACTTCAGCTGGAACATTATCTTTGTATAACTGTAATGTTATGTAGCCAAATGCCCAATATGAAGGTTTTGTATTTCCATGTCCATGTCGATTGAATCCATCTCGGTAAATATGTAAATTACGTTTCATATACTCTTCTTTGATTTTATTCCATTCATCTGGATAACCGCAACTAACAAAGACTCTCTCATAATCACAAAGATTCGGTATAAATAAAACATTTCCATTATTCCAAACAGGTTCATCATTATTTTTATAATCACGTCCTAATAAAAATACTTTGATGATATCTAAACGTCGTGGAATTTTCTCATTAAAATCTAACAACTTATCTTTCAATTCAACGAATCCTAAACTTGAAGAGTTCGCAATTACTACTTGATTTTTTCCACGTATTAATCCATCACGCATAAATTTAATCATTTCATTATGATCCCGACTTGTGATAATCGATTGTACTAATTCAGCAATAAGTTCTATACGTTCCAAACGTCCTTTCATTGCTAAATCAGTAGCATATTGATTTTCGTATCGTTTTCGTATATAATCTTGTAGTATTTTTTCTGCTAATTTTTCATCGACTAAATCAATGATTTTCATTTTTTCATTATCACCATCAACTCGACTTGCTTTACTCGTATATAGAAGAGCTTGAATCACATTATAGAATTTAAAGATCTTTATATCATAATTTATATTTATTGCTTCACTAATTGAAGTTTGATTCAGAATAGGAATATCTTTGATACTATCGATATTGTTATTAACCACAGCTGAAATATATTTCGGTAGTAAAGTAATATAATCAACATAGTAAAATGTTTTCATTAATTCATCTAGATATGTTTCATCAACATGCATTTGATCATGAAATTCTATTTCATTTAATGATGGTTCATTTTCGAACAATGGTTTAACTAAAGTTTTATATTTATTTAAATCAAGTCCAATTAATTGATCGAGCATTTTTTGTGCGATTATATCTGAATCATCACGATTTTTATATTGTTTTCGAATTGCTTGCCAAATTTCATAAGTATACAAAGCACGTAGAATTTTTGGCATTTGCTCAATTTTTTTCGAATCATTTTCACGATATAATTTTATAAATGGGCTTATCATATTTGTCGTCCCGTTATTTGCAATATAATACGATAGCCGGTCATCTTGTTCTTTAATATACGGCATAACATGTTGAAAATAATTTCCGACAACTATTTCATAGGTTTTTATCAATTGATCAAATGTTTTCAAATATAATTCTGATTTATTTTCATTTAAATCTTCGACTAATTTCCAAACACCCGCACAAATAGTATAACCACCCGTCATAGGAACATCGGCTAATAGACGTCTCATACCAATCGAACACGAATATTCTAACAATGCAGAAGCATACTTTCGTAAAAATTGACCTATACGGTCATTTTCAATAATCGGTATGACATTCGTTATAGTTTTATTCGTTGCTGGCGTTTGTAAGGGCTGGCCTCTTGATTGCATAAAAGCAGTTAACACATCAGATAGACTAACATAACAACCTAAATATAATTCATTGACCCGCCATGTCATCGGGTCAGGAAATTCGCCGATTGGACCAGAACAAGCCACTCCAACAATATTTACCATCCGTAAAATATCATTAGCATTAACATCATCTAATATGCCATCGGTAGCTAATTGACATACGGCACGGATTCCACCAAGTGTTGTATCTTGAGAAAAGAACGATACTAAATGATCATTATCATCGATGCCTTTCAATTCATTAATATGTTCAGCCATTGTTCGAACTTCTTTACGAAGAATTTCATTAAAATCTAAACCTTGTGTAACAGCACGTCGGGCTAGACCACGAGCATTTTTCGATGTACTATCGACAGCACGTAAATAGTCAGCTTGTTGCGCAGAATTCAATTGAGATACTTTATCATCGTTAGCAATTTGTGACATTCGCATAACAAATGATTTCTTTTTACGATTAATAGAATTTTTCAAATATTGCAAACGAGCACGTAAACTAGAATCATTAAGTAGTACGTTAACATCTTTATCATTATACAATAGGGAACTTTCGATATTTTGAAAATAATTCATAATATCATCAACTTCTTTTTGTGATTCAACTGTATTGACAATTTTGAGAATTTTCAATTGATTTATATAATATTCAATTTTCGTTTTCAATAATTTTTCATAGGTATCAACAGTTAAACTTTCTTGCACGTGAATTTTAACATTCGTTTGTCCAACAGTTAAATTTCCTGTTGGTAATTTATTCAGCCAAAATAAATTCTCACCTGGAAATAATGATATTGTATCATGCATAGAAGTTTGCCATGGAGTACTTTTTAAAATAGCTTCGTCTGATTTCAGTATAGCATGACGATTCAATGAATCACCAGAAAATAGACTAGCGATCGTAGCAGAAATGTCTATATTACTTAAGCTTGTTCTCACATCGAGTAAATTTACATTGGATACATTGTTCAATTGTAAGAGACTTGAAACAGCTCGAGTATCGGGTTGAGACGATGAAGTAAACAATCGAACAGCCTGCGAATTAATTATGAACTTATTTTTAATCAATGAAATTAATTGAGCTGCTGCTGTTTGTACTTGAGCTTGATCTTGTACTTCACCATCAGATATTGTTAATAAGCGTAAAGCATGACAATCTTTTGGTAGTTCATTTAGAATAAAATTAGTAAGCGTGGTAATACCAGGCGCCATAAATGTTTGACCTTGACATTTTATACTAAAACCAGCTAATTGTCGAATTGGAAGCGTATATTTATTTGGAGTACTGTCAAAGGTAATTAGTGTAATCATTTCGTTCTTATCATAATTTAAAGATTTGAAAATATCAGGTAAAACTTGATTAACAAACCTCGGTACCGAGGAACCCATAGAACCGGAACGATCGAGAATGACAACCGTATACACATTTGATTTTGATAGAAGATTTTCATTGGCATTATTATCATTCGAGAGATTTAATGCAAGTTTTCCAATGAAACCATTTTCATTTGGATAGAGAAAAAGTTTCAAGTCAGAATTCATTGTTTTTTAACTATGAAATGCTTATAATACTTAGTGATTGCTGTAGAATAAATAGTTCAATGGAAAAATGATGCAACGAGGCTTTGTATTTTTAAATATAACCGTCATCGATCTTGCACAACATACCATCAATATTGTTTTGTTTTTTAACTAAGAAAAAAATATCAGCCATTGTGTTATTTTTTGTCGTTCTTTTCTTTCTTTTTTTTATATAGTGACGATGTTTATGGCTCATTCTTTCTTGACTCGATGAAATATAAAGCGAAAATAGTTTGTCGGGTTACAGTGAGGACAGATTTGATTGCATTAACGAATTTCATCGCACGTCACATACAGCTATTCGGTCAAAAGTAATTTTTTTCAGAAAACATAACATATTATTCGAATAGCAATACTACAGCTATGTCCATTGCTGCTTTCGAATTATCACATGTGTTCGCTTTGATTCCTATCGACTTACTGAACTCGATGTAAACATTTCGAAGACATCAAACACGTCATTTTCAAAGTTGTTCACAAGGAGAAAAGCTAAATTATATGCAAATTTCAAAAGGCTGTTGATCAACTGAGTACAATTAAAGCATATTTATTCTCGGATGGGTCAAATAAACTTAAAAGAATCACATAAAAGCATTATCAAAAGTGTTCCGTGTATTTACGTGCTCTTTTTAGGAGAGTATCTGTAGTCCTTCATAGAAAAAATGATTCATCTGCCGTCGGATATCTAATGCGCTGTTAAATGATAAAATCATATCTGTATGAATAAAGATAGTGGAAACTATTTTGAAATCATAACATACTTCAACAAAATTCATGCATAAATTAATGGGATAAGATCATTTTCTGTTGTCATTCTTATAGAAAATTTTAGTATTCGTTTGTGTTAGACAAACGCATGTACGTAGTTTATTTAAATTAATTGATGTTTGTATAATTTGCCATTATCTAATAGTACATACAGATTGAGTTGTGAATTCAACGCGAGATCCATTGGTCTAGCAGTAAAGCTTAATATGATAGTGCCCATTGTTGAATTGGCACTGTACGTGACTACTTGAAAATTATTTTGATCAGCAACATACAAATTTCCAAAGGCATACATTTCAATGCTTCTCGGAGCCTGCAGAGTACTACCACAATTGACTTGCGTGTTCGTTATACTCGGAGTAGCTGCAACAAATGTCCACAGATAGACAGTGTTACCAGTGTCGCCACTAATATAAATTTGATTCGATACAAATGGGTTAAGTAGAAGAGCAGACAGTTTCGAAGTGATGCCATTTGTATTAATTGAGGTAACACTACTAGTTGCATTTTGGTCGAGTTTTGCCACTCGATTATTGTCTTGATCGGCGATGTAGAGTGTATAACTATCGTCGACAGCTGTACCTCTCAGTCAAGCGAGAGTACCACTTGTAGTTGAGTTTGCTCCAGCAACGATAGTACCATCTGCAAAATTCGGAGCGTACCGTCGAACTAAATTCTTATCATGAGCATTTGTATACATGTTTTCATCTTTGTTGAACCTAATATAACCTATATGATTTCCAGTGTTGTTAGTCACTGCAGTTCGACTGGCTCCACCGGTGACCCAGCTTTGAACAAATCTAAGCGTGTGACCACAGATATGAAATGTATCATTTCCTGGTAAAAAGACACAACATGCCTGTGGTATTGTACTAGATGCCGTATCAGCTAGGATTATGCCTGTTTGATTCCAAGTATAATTACCAGTGCCTAAATGGAAAAGTCATACTTCTTATATTTGCCATAGGCTAATGTAAATTAACTAACACGAGTCGCAGGGTGCGGTGGTAGTCGTTGTTGTGGTTACTGAAATAATTCAGAGTGGTTTGTCCGTTATGACCTAGTACAAATTATTACTTACCTGCAGTTGTAGCCGGCATAGTCGTTCTTTTTGCGCTACTATTAAAAGATAAAAAAGAGTTTATCATTTGTCGGTTTGCTTCTTGTTTGTGAATTCTATTAGTTTTCTTTACTATATGATACTTAGAGCTGCATATGATTTGTCAATTTCAGTTTTATTACATTGCATATTATCGAAGTTAATACATGCTCGATCTTAGTTCTTAGATTTAAATATTATACATCGGACGACTACGTGTTGGATCATGAACTGCTGATAGACATTCATACAATAACGATGAGAAAAATAACAGATCATTCATGCGGAGTCGGTTACTAACTAGTTTTTTTACTAATCATCTGGAATATATTTCATAGGAATTGTTTTAGGACAATGTTTATCCAAATGAAACCATTTGAACCCATCATCAAAAAGACTAATATAAAGTGAGATACACGATCGACGAAAACAAAACTATGGATCAAAATTTTCTTTAATATAATTTATTTTATATGAATTAATTGACAACCAAGGTCGCGAGTTCCGGCCAATCAATCTTGTCAGATCATGTAACAAAAATAAAGGGAACCGACAGGATCAGGTCGGGTTTTTAACAAGGTTCTACAAGTTATCTGCACTGAAGAAAAAAGGTCCATACGGAACTTAATCAAGATTCACAAATTTGCAACGAAATAGAAATCTTTTTCAGGTTTCCTTAAAATATGATTCCATACCCAACCATCTTCAATTCACATTCAAATTGGCTTCGCAACTGAAATTTCGTCACAGTTACACTGCACTCGATTTGCGCTTGCACGATTTGAATGGATATATCTATCCCCTACCTTAACCCCTTAAACTATATCTGCCACATTTCCTATATGTATCTCCGTAACTTAACACTTGTGTCCTAATCCAACGCCCAAAATATTCTTGTAACGGTGTTTAACTTCTTCGCTTAAGAGAATGTAATTACTTGGGCTCCTCAACAGAAAACGTGCACGACTAGATTTTATTGCGGCTAGAACTTACAGTGCAATAGATTTTTTTTGATAATCTTAAGTACTACAACCATTTCGATTTGTTATGGCTGCTGTTTATTGGAAATATTTTGCTCAACGTGGAATATGATTAACAGGGAAACAATTAATTATATAAGAAATGAATTGTGGGCAAGTGTTTTTACTTTAATGCTCACGTTTTGAAATGAAATTTGAAGAGTATTTTACGAAATATTGTCGGTTTTCGATGCCCTAAAGGGTTTCATACGAAAGTCTTCATGATACTAAACTTTTTTAACGTTTCGTTTATGCGAACAAAACATTTTAAAGCGTGGCAAAATACCGCGGAACCTTTCTTTTTCAGTGCAAGGACTTTGTGTTCAAAGGAGTCAATGTTAGTGCCTTTCGTCATGGATACAAAAGAAAACAGAATAATAGTATTTTATGACATGCGATTGTCATTTGAAGCTACGGTCGTCGACAGTATTTGTCCTTTAGTTTTGTTGTTTTCGTTCTTCAATGTGAGAGCTAGCGAATTTAGAACGAAGCAGTGTCGTATAGAATTGACTAGTGCAGCTTGGACAATCGAAAATTAATACAATTTACTCTTTCGTAGAACTAACGTCTCTACAGACTGAATTGAACTCAGAGAGTTTTTGTTTTGTAGCTCAAGAAAAGAATTACAATTACATAAAATATTTACAAAAAGTGATGACATTTTCAACTGCACCTTGGAAAAAAAATTTCGAATTCTCAGATGCCGGAAACGAAGGGAATCGAGTAAAATCCGATTGCCGACTTTTGGCCTGGGTAGTTCGATAAGGAAAAAAGCTATGGCTTCTTATTTGTCTCAGTTCGAATGAAAAATTTATAAACGCGTTGATATATGCCATTTTCATATTTTGACTCGAAATCATGAAATTAAACTAATAAAAATATACTCATAGAAATCGATGAATTTATTGCACAGTATTCGTTTATTTTATAATGTTTTAATGTTTTATCAATCAATAGATGTGCACTTGTCGCAGCTAGCAATGATTTCATTTAGCCGGTAGTGAATGTACTTGACTATGTAGTTTAATCGACGATCACTCAAATTATGGTAAATTTATAAGTATCTTGGGAAAAACTCTCGTCATTTTTAGAATATCGATGAAGAGAAAATTTATATTCATGTTCTCGAGCTGAGCTAGAATAGGTGGTACTTTTGTATAATTTTTTTCCTCGAGTCATCATCGATAAACAATCAATATATGGTTGCGGGATATTTTACATGTATCAAACTAATCATTACTCAAATTGTCAAATTTATCAAGGTCACTTGTGAACGCTCGAAAAACTTCATTTTTGAATGAATACACATATATGTATTTCATCGTCCTCATTCATCTGGATGCAAAATATTTACTTTGTATTGAGACGCTAAAAAGACCATATGAATGTATTTTGTTATTTATCATATTTTTTCATTAGCTTTATCAGCCAACAAGTTCTCAACAATGCTGTTTTTTCCAAAAGACCCATCTCTTACAACGTTTCAATGGTTAATAATGTGTGTGAATGAAGGAGGACAATGGCTCGATGCATTTCTCTCGACCAGGCAGATTTCGCATTAATTTGATGGCTCTCAAACTAAACATATAGTTGAAGCGTCTCATTTCGCACTCTTCAAAGAAAAGCAAACTCCATTGGATGATCTATGCAACTGAATATATAGATAAATAACCAAAACTCTAGCTAAAAAGAAAATGATTGTTCTGCAACGACTTCTAAAGATACTTTTGAACAAGATGAATATTTATTCTTATAGATTCATCTCTGTTAATGACAGCTACTGCTTGATTAAATGTAACTTTATCATTTTTGCAATCTATATACATCGAGGTTTCATAGATAGAGAGAGCAAATACTCTTATAAATTTTATATGCAATTATTATTAGCTTTTGCTTGCAGCACATCTGTCTATCATGTATGAAACGAAAACATAAAGAACAATGATAAAGAATACCTAAAAGAAAAAACTGTCATAAAAAACTAACTGGCAAATACCGGAAGCTCATGAAATTGATACACACATATGCAATGAGTATTTTCAAAGTCGAGTATTTTTTGAACTCTATGCAATGTCAGGGAGGACAAAGAACATATGACTCTAACTAAAGAATCAAGAGACATTTACTAGGAAATATTTTTCAAACTTAACGCATTGCAATCCATTCTTCTTGGTAACTTCGTTGTAGACATACTCGTAGGTCGAAGATTAACGATTTTCGAAAGGATTCATGATAGCAATCAATGAAACGAAGCGTTTCGTGAGGCACATAATTACTAACTTCTAATTATGAACAATCATTTATTTTTCTCCAGAAACCCCAATGTGTTGCTAATAACTGATAGCTACATTGTCTACTGTTAAGAGGTAAGTGAGTCTTCTAGGAAGGATCGACAATATTACATTGTAGCAGTGGAGTCAGCTTGTCTATTGCATGATGAATTTTGAAAAATGAGTTGTTTATAGTAAAATTTATGTGATAAATATCTCTGTTAGATTCCCATCTTGAAACGTCTGATAATCGTCTATTACTTAGATCACTGGGGCCGAATTCTATTAGGAGACTCATAGAACCTCATGAGAAAGTCAGATGAGATGCCAGTGTAATATATATGTGTAGTGGGAGCACGAGTACCCGCATATACTATGTGAGTGTTGCCATTGATCTTTGTTTTATTTACACCCACTCTCTGTATCAATTAAAAACAAAAAAAACACATTAAAATAGTTTGACACAAGAAAAACAATGAGAGAAGTTTCAATTCTCACAGAACATAGGAATAAATGACAATAGTTTATTACGTGAAACACGCTTGAAAAAACTAGATCGTTTTGGTGTATCTGCACCTTTATATGTTAGTTTGTCTTGAGTCTAACTATTTTTGCGAACAACAATCATATATCATATCCATACTCGGCGAACTATATAAATCATGCTTTTCATCGATTGAATGAGTGTTGTCCTTCAAAGAAATTAATATAAAAACTGAAAATAATGTCAATCATTTTTCTTTCACTTTGTACTTAAATGTTGATGGAGTGCATCGCTTCTCAACTATTCTTAATGATCCGTAATTTTTTTTTTTTCTTCCTCTCCTTAAAGGAAATACAGCTGGAGCAAAAAGTAGAACACTTTTTACTCATGTAAGAGATAGAAAAAATATCCCTAAAAAAATGTGTGTCACATATTTTACCTATATATATATATCAACCTTCAATATAAATCTACAATCGTCTTTCATCAATAAAATACTCGCAAGCTGATACTAGAGAGATTCGATTCATAAGAGCTGAATTTCGCTAAATCGATTTCAGTCTAAAGGGTAAGGTCGATGAGACGATGAGCTCGCTCAATTAGATTAAGTACACAACTTCATATTCCATACTGTTTTCCGAAAAACTATCGTTTGTTTGAAAACAATACATTTTCTCAACATAAAATGCTTATCTAGAATAAGAGAGAGCTTAGATTGTATGCTAAAGACAGGAGTGAAGAAGAAAATTTTCCCATTCTTGTAAGCGCAGCGTTGGCAGCGGATAATTTTTCAAGACTAAATATATTGCTATCTTGTTACACTGCGGCAAAGTAGCTACAAAATTACTTTAGGCTGAGGAAGAAAATTTTCTAAACGGGATATTTGTTTTTGCAATAAAATTCTGTTTTGCCTCAATATCTATTTAAAAAAAACTCAGTCTGCGATATTTTTATAGTAGAGAGAACACCTGATCGTAAAAGTAGCATCCATAGTAAAGGAAAAGATCTGTTTCCGTATGAATTGTTACTAACTATGGATGTGCAGTGTCGGTGTACTGACCACCGGCGTTCCACTGGGCGCGTCGTCAGTGTAGTCGGTGATCAGGTTTTCAGTATTTACACCGATACTGCACATCCCTATTACTAACACATAAATTACTGACACAGACAAAAATTTCATGAGAAAAAATACAAGCGGAATGATATGGAAAAATTGATCTTTTCCACGACCTGATCGCAGCTCTTGTTTACTTCTAGAAATATGTAATTATAGTTTATTTGCAGATCAAACCGACTATCGAAAAGAAAAAACGTAACTTATATCAGGCCATATCTAATTTGTGTTATTAAAATTAATATTTTCAATTGAATCATTATTTCGACGAGGTAAAGTCACTAGAATAAACATGTAAAGTTTATTGAAACACATTTGATTCTTTTATACTTGATAGCGCACTTAACTGGTCGTCTGGCAAAGTGAACACAGTAGCTACCGATCAATTCTAAACAGATCTGATTGTCTGAACTAATTTCAACTAATTATTCGCATATTATAATTTTGCACGTAACATATAAGCACAAGTTCGATTAGATTCCTGCATATTAAATGTATTTAATACAAGTACTCCTGTTGAACACTATGATATTGATATTTTTTATATCGTACCAACTAGCTCTGATTTCTGTTCAGCAAATAATTTCTACGGATTTCACAATCAATGTTAAATCTAATGATTCAACTCGATTGCATAGATATCGGAATAAGAATTGTGGCTTACGATCCCAAAACCTTTGCGATTGCTACTCAGACGGGGTGAATATCTATAACTACCGCGAACTAGAAGATTATCAGTGCAGATCTATCGAAATATCATGCCAAATCCATTCATGTTCAGCGGCTATTGATGTTGTTATCTTATGGGTCAATAGCGATGACCAAAACTTGCAAAAAATATTTAATGACACATTGAAATTTATGAAGACGACTGGAATGGGCGAATACAGTTCTATTTTGCTAAATCGATTTCGTGATTTGAAACAGTTGAAATATTTACTTAGATCTATTGAAGAAAATGGCAAAGAATGGGCTCGGAGAATATTTCTCGTGACGAATAATCAAGTACCCGACTACGTTAATATTAATCATACAAGGATACGAATTGTTTCTCATCAGCAACTATTCGAATACGCAAAAGTAAAACCTCCAAAATATCAGCTATTCAATTCGATAGCAATCCAATCTATGATTCATACTATTCCCACACTATCATCTCCGTTTTATCTGTTCGATGATGATATTGTTATCAGAAAAAGTTTACCAACTACAGTAATAATGAGTGAAAACAAAAGTGTCATTGACTTAAATGCTAATAAGTATTTAATGCGTGTTAAGCCACAATCACTTTACGATGCCCATTTACAATCAGCGATAAATATGGTACTAAAAAGAAATAGACCGGTGCCTCTACTCGGAGCTAATGGTCGATATTCAATTGGTTCTCATGGGCCGTTACTTCTATACAGAGAAATAGGTATGAAAATATGGGATGAATTTCGACCAGAAATGAACTTACTAATATCTCACCCGTTCAGAATGCCTACAGATCCTTCAATACAAACACTTTATATTTATATGGGCTATTCGAATTATTATACTTTTGCGAGAAACCGAAATATGCTACGGTTTGAAATGTTATCAAGTTACAATCCTGAAGTGACCCGCCGCATATTGCAAAAAACATTTCAAGATAAATCTGTTTATTTTGTATGCGTAAATGACAACTTACGAAAATTTAATGAAGAACACCAAACATACTTGAGCGAAGTGTACGAAACTGTTTTTCCAAAGCGTTCCTCGTTTGACAATAATTAACTTCAATACACTATTTGCTTCAAATCATTTACAATGTAAATAATTATTCAAGAATAGTTTGATGTTTCAACCTACTTCTTTCGTATATTGTGAAACACGATCTGTAAGGAGTGTTGAAGTGCTTAGGGTAGAAATTTTTCACCTATCCGCCGTCCCCTCCCCACAGACCGTTACCGACAGCTAATTTACTCCTCACAAAGTTTTACTAACAAGTGATTTCCTCATCACAGACTGCTATTGACACATAATTTCTCCATCACACATCGGTACCAACAACGAATATCCGTATCAGAGAGCGCTGTAAATACGGTTCTTTGTAACACAGATACGTGCATACAAATTTTTATTGGCTTAAAAACTACATTTACTAAGCTTTTATACTACGGAACAGCAATACATATATGGTTTCAATCTCACACACAGCAGCAAAAAAAACAATAGGAAAGCTCAACTTTTTATCTGATAGAAATGCACAGATATCAATTACGCCAAACAATTAAACGTCTATATCCATAAAATCAATACAAACAATTCTAGTTAATGAAAAAATAAAAAAATATCTAGCAACCATCAATCGGAAAAACCGCTATATACTAATAACGTCTCAAACTTTCATCTCTCCATTTTATGTAATTTTAAAATGCCTATTAGAGCATGAAACACATAAAAAATCTTTTATTGATAAAGACTTTTTATGATGGGCATAAATACAAAAACAATTCGAAAAATTCGCAGAATCCTAAAAACATAACTATTGAAAAAAAATACATGTTGTTTTATTTATCGTGTAATAATTTTTAATTGGATCGAAGAAATTAGATGTTACATTTGGTTCAATTTTTGTCTGTTGGTTTACAGCATCATTTCGTTCTTTCTCACGTTTCAAACATCTATACTTTCGATCTTTGATTAGTCCCAATTCTTTTTTCTGATTTGATTGATTATGCCGAAAACACCGTACTCGTTCTTGGGTTTTGTGAAACACGACCTGAAAGAAGTGTTAAAGTTTTTAGGGTAGAAATTTGCACCCATCCCCCGCCTCCTCCCCACAGACCCCATTACCGACAGGTTAAGAGACCGTTGAAAACCGTGGCCGATGCCTCAATTGCTTAGTTAATTAACTATTTACTATGCAATTACTTAATTGGGCATCACAAACCGTGACATACGCTTTAATTAATTAATTAATTAACTAATTAGTACCATATGAATTGAGTGACCATCACAGACTGTTACACAAGATCTTCAGAGACTATCACACGGCATGCCAGACAACCTTGAGACGCTGTTCCAGCCTTGTGCAGATTATCCCTGGTAGCGGCAAACGAGCTGTCTCACAAAATCAACAAAAAACTCCCTTAAATACGCCATCTCTATGTAATTTTCTGCGGTGATTATGTCGTGTTTCACATTCTTAATCCCAGAGGGATTGCGCTAACAGCTTTTTAAATTAATAGTATTTATGTAGAAGTACTATTTTTGAATTCTTTGTCTATATGCTCCGCAGGATCTATGAGTTGCATATAGTGTGCAAATTGAATGTTTAAATCAGATCGTTGAAGAATTCTCAATAAATAGCTCAATCAAAATTACTCGCATCTAGTCGATTGAAATCTACAATGAGATTTTTTCGTTTAAAACAACTTTGAATATTTTCAGGAATTAGAAACTAGGAAATTCCAGAATGGTCGAAGTATGTATGTTGTTCTTTCATTTTGCTGAAGTTGCCGTTGGTACAAGATGCAATGAAAACCTATTCAATTTAACGGGCTGAGCGCCATTGATTTTCATAGCAATACAAATTCTATCGCCACAATGTGGTTAATCAGATTATAGAGGGGTGCGCAAGTACGGGTACAACCTGTACTGGCATATACTACCCCGTCTTCCCTCAAAAACCTAGAACTCTAGAATTCATGTACTGGCATGTACTCAGATGTATTCGGTTGTGCAAGTGTATCATCTGTGTCATTAGCGAAGCTTTCAGTTGTTATGTAAATTGTCCAGTATAAGTGGTACCCGTACTTGCGCAGCTATGAGTTTCTAGCAGAAACGGTACTATTTCAGTAGAGATGGTATTATTTTAAGGAGATATTGATGATTTTCTTTTTCATCTTATTGGGAAGTTTTGTAGGAGAAAGAATATTTTTATTTCTCCTGAAAGATAATCAGGTTTATGTTTTTACCCAACGGAATATTGTAAATTCTTATGATAACGAATAATTTTGGACCCGTTATATTGTAATTGAAACCGACAATGATATAATAAACAGGGGACATTATCGGTATAGTAAAGTATTGCTATCTAAATAGTTCATTTTCTGAATAACAACATATACATAGTGTAGGATGAGCCCATAAACAAGTGTAAAAGATCTTCCCTTATGATAGTAGGATTAATACAGTATGTTAGTGAAAATACCCAAACAATGATTTAAAAATGTTCACTTTTACAACAAAAAAAATATCTTGACCTCTACGTTTCAGCTTACACAATCATTGGAACATATTTTATTATACGAACTCTATCGAGTAGAACTATGGTTAAAACTTCATGATAACGGGTTCTATTTCTCTTTGTGAAAAACATTTTCCTAGATTTTTTAACGATTTCTGCTTGAATTAAACGTTATTGTCGTTGAACAAAAGCAACTGATATATATATATATGGATTCTGTTTTTCCATTTCTCCTTGCTGTGCGTATTTTTTTGTGGGTGATCCATTTCTACTTAAAGTGGAACAGTTTCCCGGCCGATTAGTACTGTTGTCCACTGCTGCATTGTTTCTGATAGTTATTGGGTGAAAGTAAATCCGCAGATTATAACAGTCAACATACGTAGGGGAAATTTCATTTTCACTTGATACTTTCATGTTGATAAACGAAAATTTTGGTGGAAATTTACCGCCTCTTATTTTCTTGTTTTTATGAATCAAAATAAACATTCTTTTTTAAAATTTATTATCAGATTAGAGAGAACAACACAAAACAATCAGACGTTTCATGCTACCACGATCTTTGTTGTTGTTGTTGTTGCTCCACATGTACCGTCTGATTCAAATGCTCAACTACTATCTATTGATGATCCTCGAGTCAACTCTTCGCACGCAGCTTTGAGAGATTCCAACGCTTTTGTGAGTTGATCAACTCGAGAAGTCAATCGTTGATTTTGATTGATTAATATGGACATTTTCAGCTTTTTTGCTTTGTCTTTCTCTTTTGCCTTTTGCCGAGCTTTCTGCACTGCTCTATTGTTGTCCAATCGTCGAATACGATATTCTTCCGAATATTTAATTACTTTCCTGTTACCGAATCGAGTCCAAGTTTCTATAGTAGCAGAGTTGGCTTTGGGATCTCTTCGATTGCATTCATCTTGCTCAGAATCGGTCGAATTTGATTCTGTCGTTTTATCAGGTACAAATACAAAGGGAAGATTTGAGTTTGTATTGCTTGCATTTAAAATAGTCGTTTTATTTTCTGGCATTTGTACAGAATCGGTAGGTTGATCAAATAGATCGCAGCCAGAAGTTAGTAATTCTTGAATTGAATCTAAGATATACGAGTCCATAGATGAGTCAGCTAAGTTGTTTTTATCAAAGAAATCATGCTCGTCAAAAATATTCGAATCCCATAGTAGATGATCCACAGATAGATCAATACTGGGTTCGATTTCTGTCAAGCACGACATCTGCGACGGAAGTAGATTTGTAGGTAATGCATTGGCCAATGAAACATCGCAGTTGAGGATCTAAAGGAAACAGTACAATATAAATGTATATTTAACGATGTTTTATAGTGACAAAATTTATTTTCTATAGTGATGAAAAATATCATCGGTTATTTATATCATGTTTAACTATAATTACCGGATCGATTTTTGTGAAAGTCTTCTCTGAATTTATCGTTGATTGATTTTGAAACATTTCTTCTGAGTTCAAAGAATAGCATGACAAGTGTGTGGAAGAATCGAGATTGTTTGAAGTTAGATTAGTAGTGAATGTGCTTTCCAAAGGTTTACGTTTGCCGAACAGACCGAAAGTCAATTTGAATATACGATTGTGTGTGTAAATGTAGGTTTGCAATTTGTCGAATGAAAGCTAGGTGGGTAAGGTTGAGAATGACGTGTAGGTTATTACGAAATTCTTTGTTTTCTTATGAAAAATCCTTGTGTTTTTCTCTTTTCGTTCTGTCACTTCCTTGCCGTATGCGTTACGTAATAACATCGACTGGGGAGAAAAATTGTTCCGTGTAAAAATATTTTCTGTCTTTTTGCTTCTATGAGGATATGTGTTTGAAAGATTATCATATGTTATCAGGCACATCGCTGACGACAATGACTTGATTATCTCAGATGAATTTATATTACCAATAATATGAGATTCACGTTTTTTATTTCTTGTTTTTGAGAAAAGCAAATTGATGATATAAAAATCTTTTTTTTTTTGATAATATATCGTTTTCAAAGGCAGAGCCTGAAACTCATGAAACTGTAAAATGTTTATTTCGAATTTTATTTTATTGGCTTGTAATGGTTGCTAGGAGTAAATATTGCAAATTTTGACTTCGCTTGTTCAGCTTTACCACAGCAAATTTCACTTCTACAACTAAAATTCATTTCTTTTAATTGGTTCGAGATTTCGAGTAATATCTGTTTGCTAGCTGATTGTGTAGATAGTTGTTATGATAAATTTGATGCAGTGCTATTTCCGTGCCCCCTTAACTACGTGATGACTATGGTTCCTGATTATCTGGTGATAAAACCACAGCGTCTCCATTGTCAGGCATCTCCTAACCTAAATATTCATCAAAATCATTATCATCAGACATTTTAATTCATCTAAAAAGTCATCAAAAAACATGTTTTATTTTTGTTTTCATCTTTTTAATAATTTACATATTTTCTTTAGATGATAAAGCATTAGTGGAAAGAGAAAAAAACTTAAAGAGTATTACGAGTGAAAGATCCATTAAAAGATTTATCATCATTTCAATGGCGCACGGAATACAGCGGAAAACGTTTATGGCTTCATGATCAATGACTTGAACGTGATTTAATTAATTATTCATACCTAAATCATGACTTACATTTTTCTATGATAAAACAGTCGTTACTGAATCTTATATGTTTTACTATGATTTACTTATTTATGGTTTTAGTAAAGAATGTGTCGTTTTATGGTATGATTTTAGCGAATATTTTATTTTTCCTACTGTTGTTATAGGTTTTGTAAAAAAGTAAATTTCCATAAATACTTCTTTCAGTAAAAGCAATTCTTTTTAAGAATTATTCGAACAGTTGAGAATGTACTCCGATGTTGACTTCAAGAAGTTGATCTATATAGTTCAATTGCGAGTAATTCAAAAGTAATGTCTGAAAATTTTTACATGCTTATGAACAATCTGTAGAGCGTGCAAAAAATATTGGATTCTTATCTGAAGCATGAAAAGAAATTAATAATATGTAACTTGAAGCCACTTGTCGATAAAAGGTGAATCAAATGTATGAAATTGTTAAATGTCGACTAGATTATCAAGCTACACTAAAAAATGCAGGAAAAGACTTTGAAAGAAGGAATATAATTAATTCGATTGCAAAGTGAAGTTAAAAAATTTTATTAGTGCAGCTCCTCTAGATTTGATAAACTAATGCAAAATAGCTCAACCCAGTTCGAAAAATCTGAGGTAAGACCATGCAATCCGGACGTCAGATCTCACAATTCGAACGAAATCTTATAAACATCAGACAAAAAATCGTCGTCTCTGAAATCTTGCATCAGATCATACTGTGTTTTCTTTAAAGAGCGCACATACAATTTATTTTCAATACAAATTTGTCGTGATATTTTAAGGAGATATTAGTTCAATTAAAATATCACAGCGATATTACTATAAGTAACAGAACCTTTCAAGAATCTTCTGATACGACGATTCTTGTAAGATATTGCCGTCTGGTTTCTCGCCCTGGGAAGTGAGAAATCCACTTTACTTTTAAAAATCTATAATTGTAGCATAACCTAATTTGCCTATGTCTATAATATGGAGTTGCTTGTCGATGTCTAATAACAGTCGCTGAAGCTAGCTACTAAGATTTGTAATGGTAGCCCTACCTGGTTGCTATGCTCTGTAATGGTGGCCTAAGTTGGTTGTTAGTGTATGTACTTAGGAGGAAGAGGAGGGGAGTCGCAAAAATCTCGCTTTTAAACTTATTTGAGTTCCACATTTTAGCACCAAAGGAGCTGCGCTAACAAGCTTTTCAGTTCAAACCGACAACGAAAAAATAGGGCTTCACCATTTGTGCCACGAGATCACTTGAGTATAAGTGAACGAAAAAGCATTATGTACAATTTCTAGATTGATTGTGTTTATTGTGTCAAAAATGAGTTACAAAATGGAACTAATTGAAAACATCTAATTTGAATAAAAAAAAACACGTCAAAACTATTGACAACAATCATATGAATTGTATTATGCACAATTTTTGTCACTTCTTTACTCCTCCAGTGCATACTTGTCTTAATGTGGGTAGTGGATTCGTCATCTGAATGGATGCGGTCGTTGGTACTACTTGCCCACTCTTTCGACCACATTTCATCGCCTGTATGAGTTCTTGACGAAAAAGAGTACTTGTCAAACAGTGTAAATAGAAATTGATCGTATAGTTGGTGGTAACAACAAATGTGAATATGGAAAACAGTTCTAACTGTTGCGATTGTGTCATTAGGGAAGGAAGTATAGTTGGCTGTAAGATATTGTACAAGCTCACAGGTAGACTAGTGATCAAAAATAATATTATAGTCGTAAGCATAATTAACAGGATTTGTTTGTCAAGATAGGCACGACGAGTACGAGCACGCGTCTCGCCTTGAATAGCGGATTGCTTAGCCAAACGTCGAAATGTATCCAAAGAAAACATGAGTAGAAGAATAACAGGAAGAAAAGTTTGAATGCATGAGAAGAGAATAGGCCAAATATGACGAAAAAATTGAAAATAAGCATGATCAGCCATGTTGGCACCACATACTGTCATGATACCTGCTGGTAACCGTCCGAATAGTTGAGGTACAACAAAAGGACTATTCAAACCAATAGCAACCATCAGTATGCCTACTGTAGCCACGAGTGCATTTCTTCGTGTACAAACTTCTTTTGATTTGAGCGGAAATCGTACGCGGGCCCATCGATCAACTGCAATGGTCACGAGTAACCATGCATTACAAAACATGAATGTTGATTGAACAAATGTGCGAAGACGACATGTAGCCGATGGGTCTGCTGATCTATCCGGTTCTTTCAAGCCAATATTAATAAAATTATAGATACTGACCAAAAAATAGATGGAATCAGAAAACGTGAGCGCAACGAATAAGCAACTAGTCGACACACGACGAAGAGTAGGTCGAAGAAAGATGAGAAAACTGTTCGTATGACCAAAAATGCCAATAATATAGAGGAGAGTATAGCCATAAAGTGCAATGTTACTTTCCAAGGGAGTTAAAACTGGAGCTCCTGGTGACAGCGGTCCAGTATTATTCATTGTTGTATTGTTGCCTCAGGTTGAAAATTGAAGATGAGAGAAAGATCAGTTGAATAAATGTTAGTAATGAGAAGTGCCACACGCTCATTCTATAGTAGAAAGTTGTTTGCTTCTGAAATATTTCTCCCGAAGGATAAACAACATATTGCGTCTCTCTCTCTCGTTCTTTTGCGTATTAGATCATTTGTTAAAAACACGATCCCTTTGACCTCAAGCACTGATTGAAAAATGTGTCACAATGTAAATTAGACATAAATTCTAATTTTTAGAAAAATAGAAGAATCAGATAACCTATTACTACTATAAAACATTGTTGAGTTTTCTAGATCTACCGCATAAGAGACATTTTACACTCTAAAAAGATCGATTTATTATACCAAACCTGTACCCAATATAAGAATCTTTGGGGATTTGTACCAATTTTCAGAACCTAAAAGGTTTAGCAGATAAAGATCCGAGCTTTTCTCCAAATGTTCTTATCCTGGGTGCCGGTTCGGTAATAAACCGATCCCTTTTTAGAGCGTAGAAGCAAAAAGATATTTTTAAAACATTTTCCCTTTTTTGTAAATAAGACGTTATTCTCACTGCATCATTTTCATATTTTTAATTAAAGTTGTTATTTTAAGAAGAGAATTCGCCCCTGTATCAATACGATCTACTTTGGTATTAGACTCCTTTTATAATTTTTTTCTTTAATTAATTCTTTAAGATATACCTGCCCTTCTTCGTGTTATCCCTTCTGTTTCTTAAATAATGTTTTTCCTATTCACTATTATCTTCTAATGAAAAGTTTGATGAAATAGTTTCTTCTTATAATAATCCATTACGAAGCTTTTGTTACTTGCTTCATTAATATATATATAATATATAATATATTTTGTCTTTCTCTCAAAAGCATAAATTTTCTCTATAGTTTTAAAATGATAGAAACCTGGAGGCATACATTCATCGATTAGATTCAACCTAAAAATAGTTCTTTAGCTTATATAATGAAATTATTAATGTACATTTTTTTCGCCTGCGTGCAAAATAAATTCTCTTTGTTTTGTAAATTATGGGAACATAGGAACATGTAATCATTGATTAGATTCAACTGAAAAATAAATATTTCTTTTTATCTAGTGAGTGAATATTTCTACTGATTTTTTTCTGCGAAGACTACTGATCTTTGCTATATTTTTCTAGTGGTGAGGGCATGAGGACGTTGAATGATTGGTTAAATTTTTGTTTTAAGCTTCTTTAAATATGAATTAAAATGATCAAGGAGTGGAGTAAAAGAGCGTTTTCAAAAGAAGATTCAATATAGCTTATGATTGTTAGTTGCACATTACTTTACGTCCAGCATCAATAAATACAGATTCAGTTAAGACAAAAGTTATAAACTTCTTTACTAATCGAATCCTATTAAACAGTTGAAACATAAAAATTGAAATTTGAAAATATTTTCAAAATGGTTAATAAATTATTGGCGAATAACCAATCACTCCATGACCTTCAACTATCATAACAGTAGCAAGACAACAAAGATTAATTTTAATATGACTCATACAAGGAAAATAAAAGAGTATGCAAAAAACACATGCATCAAGCAAAAAATGGTTTGCTTCGTATTTTATTAGTAAAACGAAAAAAAGTAGATTCATTTATTTTATAAAATCTTTTCAATATGACTTGGTTCTCTTTTTTTCGCTTTTTATGGTTTAATATATTTAGCTCATTTCAGTCTCAACTGAAATTCTCATGTCAACTGTGACATGTGTGAGCAATGAAGAGTAATAAATATTACCAATGCACCTTGTAATTATGAAATGCCTCTATCACTAATTTCTGTTTCCCTCGACGCCAAGCGAGGCCATATTGAAAGAAAAATTATAGTTACTTACGATTTCGAACTTGATTCCTCGATTAAAGGAATAAACATTTAAGAATTTATTTATATACAATAAAACTTACTTGCGGTTTTGAATTTGATATTGAACGAAAAGATTAAGAACAATAATTCTAATAAAAAACTTTAACTTACTTACGATTTTCAATTTTCTTTTCTAAAATCTAAATTAAAAGCGATTCATTCACAAAAATAATTATTACATACAATTGTTTAACTTGCTGATGAAATTCTTCAAGATTTATGAATAAATACTTACGTTTATTATAGAAGCCTAACCTACATAAAGAGAAGTTTCATTTTGTTCGTCAGACTGATCCAGCTAATGGAGAATGACAATCTTTTAATATGAGATTACAAGCTATTGCAACATAGAGAGATCCTCAGGTCGAACAGTCCGACCATATTTTTTACCAGAATACTGCTTCCATGCTCCAGCGATTTCCCGTGTTTTTCTGCAGGATATGGCGACTTTTCTGCATATTTCCTGGAGTATCCTACGGGATCTGATGGCCGGAACGTTCGACTTGGAGAGCTAAAGTTATTCTGCTTTTCACTAATCTTTGTTTCTATTGTAAAATTTTCTATCTAACCATAAAAATAATTCATGAATAGTGTCATCAACCAGAATAGTCAACACCATTTTGATATATATGTATAACGTGCCTGATTTGAATTTTTTAGCGAAAAAAAAACCTATTTTATGGAAGCGCACAATAAAGAACTCTTCGCCATAGAATAATAAACCCTTTCAGGGTTTATGAAACTTTTTTTTCTAGTACTAGGGCTTAGTATTCTACGATTTTTTTTACAGTGCATGCAAATAATTCAGTCGTGATTCTAAATGAGCGTGATGGAAGCAAATAGTATTTCAAGTGGCTTATAAGGCTTATCGAGAGCATCAGTAGAACTGAAAAGATACAGGATTTAAAGGACAATTAGTATCTAATCAGATAAAATTAAACCATCAGATTTCAACTTTTCAAATGTCATGAACAATCGGCTATATTTTTTTGTTAAATTTACTAAGCTAACGCTTTAAAAAGATATCTCCAGCATAAGCAACGATGATGAACATTGATTTTTGAGCATCTCATTATCAGATGTTAATGAATAAGTTAATAATATATCAGTATACTACTATTTACTATCTTTTAATAGATATATTGTTGTATCATGATAATATATGTTCACCAATAATTTCTTTCAGTATCTATAGTGATTTGGGAATTTTTTTTAAAATTCAAAAGAAAGCGCAGACTAATGCTTTAATACATAAGCAAAAACATATTTTTCGAAACTCACATCCCCAGAATTCTAAAGGATACTTTACTATGGATTATTTCTTCTTTTTTTATTCAATGATGTAAGGAAAGCACTCTCAGAAATACATTACCCTCGTTTTTTAAGATGTTGAGGCTGGCATCTGCATATAGAGAAAAGGGAAGTACCGTTTGATATGCTCTTTTAAATTATGCAGAATTTTCAATTATAGCAAGATAGATAATTTTAATTCGTGTTTGTTGAATACTTCTCGAAAAATTTCATGCAACAAAAGTGTCCGAACTACTCTAAAATCTCGCTTTTCCCAATAATTTTCTATTACATCGAAGATTAAAAGAATGTGTCAAAAACATGAATACGATGAACGTCTTGTAAATATTATTATTCGGATCAAAGCGCCAAATTTAATAACTGACAAGAAACAAAACAGAAATCATTACAAATATATTAAAAAGATTTAAAAAAAGCCGAACGAGAAACTTATTTTCTAATTTAAAGCATTTATTTTCTTATTTTGTTTTTGTGAAATAATTTACTATTACATATTTTACACAACACAGAAAGAAAATTGTTTATCCTTATTCAAACAAAAACGCAGCATGTTATTTACTATGAAAATTTCTACCAGAAATCTACACGCACAGCCTCAAAAATTATTTTTGACATCATGATCTTCATTCTGTCGCTAACAGCTTCTGCCACTTTATTTTCCTCGTCTTGGCAGCGGAAAAATGGCAGCAGTGTCACTCTGTTGAGTAAGAACGACATAGCTTGTTTTTTCGTCCGAATAAAAAAAAACACAAGGAACAGCAAAGAAATAAGTCAATCTTTAATAAAAAGTAACCACTCTTGGATTTTATTTTTACTTCTATGTTAACGATGATGTTATAGATATGCGTATTCTCTAATGAATAAAATAGACTTCTCAAATCAATTATTGCAAATAGCTGTTTTGAATTGCGTATTCGAATTATAGATATTTATTTTCAACGTTGAGATTGTACAGAGAAATTCTTATTTTATCCAATGAAAACTACAGTTGACACCGTTGTTTTTTACTTAATAATATTTCAAAGTGAGTGATAACTATTATTACTGTGGCTTCAGCTTAATTTATATGAATATTTTCAATAGCAATACAAAGGTACGAATGTCTTCATTGCTACGCTTGCAATGGCAAAGATGAATGCGGTATTTCATTTTCATCTAATTCAAGTACTATTAAACGAGTCGAATCTAAAGGAGATGACTTCTTGGATGTGTGCACAGTAATTAAATTTAATCAGTAGCAAATCATATTTTATTATTTAATTGCGCATCATACTTCATTCAGATATCTGTAAACTCAGAAGGTATTACAACTCGTGGCTTAATCCTTTCACCCGTGTGCCGCAGTTCAGCAAATCAATTTTGCTGTAAAGAAGATTGGTGCAATTCTTTACCTGCACCACCATTACCTGCACTAACTTCTCGCACATGTAGAATCGATCGTTGTTTGGGAACCAATAATACATGCGATAGTATTTCCAATATTGCTACTCTTAGTAGTGCTACTGAATCTTGTACAGTAAGTCAATAAATATCCCATTTGTCATACTAGTTCATCATTTATAAAAGCTTATGTTCATTGTATATCTATTCTTGTCATAAATTAAAGATGAATGAATTACTTGTTAGGGAGCATTGGGAGAATCAGAACAAACAGTAATGATGACATACAAAAAGAAATGTACACCTGGCCAATATGCTGCCACTCAAGATGGATCTTTTACTTTAGCACCGTATTTTTGTTGCAATTCTCCTGAATGTAATCAACAACGTGTGCCTCCTAAAGTCGCTATTCAATGTTACACATGTGATTCACGAGTAACTGGTTTAACCGGTTGTAGCACATTTGATTTGTCGAGTCCTCATGTTTATGAATCTGGTTCATCCGATTCTGATGAAGCTTGTGCTGTAAGAATTTTAAAACGAAAAAAAGTGATATTCAAAAATAATACTATTTTAAGACTATAATTGGTTTAACAGGAAAAGATTCATTCACTAATGTCACTTATCCGACTTTCTTCATACGCACATTCATTCAGCATTGTAAGAATCAGTCGTTGGGTAATATTTCATATGGTGGTGCTACTTTCCAAGGCCGTATCAATTGCTGTTGGAAAAACCATTGTAATATAGAAAGTGAGTGTTCACATGGATCTGTAAAATTCAAATTGTTTTTATTAGCACATTCGATTCTTACAGTTTCTTTTTTGAAAAAAGATCGTAAGAATCATTTTTAATGTAGTCATAAAATTAATGGATCGCTGTTTCTACCTAAATTATTTCCCTGAATCTAAACTACTGAGGTTTTCCTTGTATAAATATATTGTCTATTAGATTAAACTTGTTTAATACATGGTCAGTAGTGAAAAACATTTTGTTTTGACCTGTTTAATAGCATTATTTTTCTTTTATATTTGTAGATTTGGATGTAACTATAGGTCTGTCGGTAGCACCAGAAGGGCTACCATTGAAAAACATTGGAAATGATCTTCGTAGGATCTCCATCATCAGAATTGCAATTTTCGTGGGACTTGCCTTTGTAATATCAGTTGCATTCATTGTTTATCAACTCAGGCATAAAATATCTCAGTATATGTATCGGCCTCTTCTGTCGGACGGCGCACTGTCTACTACGGAGCCTGCTGAGTAAATGTAGCGTACTAGTTGCAAAGATACTTATATTCTATCCACTAATCATTTGCTTGCCATTCCATCTTGCTGAATCTGTGTTTTTATTATGTAAGAGATTGCCACAATAAAATATTCACAACTTTATTTAACTCCTATAATATTATATTCAATAAAAAAATTGATTTTTCATACATTTAATCATGATTTTAAGACTCTATAGTATTATCAAGATATCAGCATGATCATTTCCATTGTAGAATGCCTCGAAATGGATTCAACTGAAGGGTTTAGATATCGAAGGTAATACATAATCTGCGATGCAATTGGCCATAAAAACTTCATTCATCAAGCTATATCAAACCTGAAAATCTCCAACGCTAACTAAAATCTAGTATATCTCTATTTAGTCAATCTCATCTTGCAAATAGAATAAGGCATGCAGCAATTCCAATTCGAGTCTATTCAATTCCAAGAATTAGTCGGAATTGGTTGGACTTGGACTTGGACTTGGATCTGATCTGGAATTGATCTGGAATTGGTTGGGATTGGTTTAGAATTGGTTTAGAATTGGAATTGGAATTGGTCGGAATCGGTCTGAAACCGGTATAGAATTGGCTCTAAATGAGTGTAGAATTAACTGAAATTGATGGTACAATTGATTAGTCTTGGCTAGCAAGTGCTTGAATTTGCCAAAAATAAAATAAAGAAACGGCGACGCATAAGGCCTTAAATCTGAAAATTGAGATTTTTATCATAAAAGCTACAACTTGAGCCACAATTAATAACATATTCGGAATCAGCGCAAAATATTGACTCGAACAATGTATATTTTAAATACTTTCGGTGACTCTTTTTATCTACCAAAAATTCACCTGGAGTACCCCTCAAGGTTCAGTCCAATAATAGAAAATTACTTTTTTTTAGTGCTCAGGCATGCGATTTTTTCGATATTACTAAGCATTTTACATGCTCCACAGTTAATTACTGCAGTTCAAGTTGCTTTCTGATTAGTTTATTTTTTGACTGAACCTGAGTGGTACCCCAGGTGAATTTTTGGTAGAAAAAAAGAGTCACCGAAAGTATTTAAAGTATACATTGTTCGAGTCAGTGTTTTGCGCTGATTCCGAATATGTTATTAATTGTGGCTCAAGTTGTAGCTTTTATGATAAAAATCTCAATTTTCAGATTTAAGGCCTTATGCGTCGCCGTTTCTTTATTTTATTTTTGGCAAATTCAAGCACTTGCTAGCCAAGACTAATCAATTGTGCCATCAATTTCAGTTAATTCTACACTCATTTAGAGCCAATTCTATACCGGTTTCAGACCAATTCTAAACTAATTCCAGCGTAATTTCAGCCAATGCCGACCAATTCCAATTCCAATCAATTCCGATCAATTTCAATTTCAATTCCAGACCAATTCCGACCAATTCCAGTTCCAATTCCAACCAATTCCAGACCAATTCCAAATCAAGAATTGGAATTGAATTGGTTGGAACTGGAATTGGTGCATCCCTATATAGAATCTTGTATTTAATAATTTATTAGCATCAAAGCAGCCTACAGTATATTTTGATATAATCGCCGGATAATAGTGCGCTAATACATTAGGATATTTTGTATTTTGATTGCTCATATTATGTCATACAAGATGAGTTGATCTCATTTACTGAGTAGCTGATAAATTTACAAATCTCTAATGAAGGCAACTTCGGTTTCATTTTTTTATGTACTCTTGGAATAGAAAACTTTTACTAACACGTCATGGTATTCAATGATCATATGTGTAGAATTTATCAAGGTTTCTTTTTTTTGAGCGAAACACTTAGTTGAGTTAGAAAAAAAATGTTTTTTAACTCGCAAATGTTCAAATGAATTGGACGAAATTGACAAAGTTTTCAATTTGTGACGGCGTTTTTGCTTAGTGTTTCTAATGCGGTTTCATTTTTCTGTTTTTGCTTCATAAACTTTTGAAAAATGTCCAAAATTTGCTTCTCTTTTTCTGGATATTTGTTCACGTATTCTTGTGTTTTCATATCTCGAAATTCCTGCATGATAGACAAATCGCCATCTAACTGCTTACGTTTTTCTATTTTCTGTTCAGACATTACGCTTGGACTGAGTAAAGGATAATTTGCCCATACATTGCGTCCAAATGCTTTCGGAGGGAAGAACTTACAACGGTTAGAGATGCGTCCCTTTTCAGACATCGCTATTGATCTGGATAAAGGAAAATTTTCCCATACATTGCGCCCAACTGCATGGGCAGAGAAGAAATTACGACGCTCAGAGATGAGTTGCTCATTTTCTTGAGAAATTTCGGTTGATGGAATACCAAATATACGCTCAGAGGTGAGTTGCTCATTTTCTTGAGAAATTTCGGTTGATGGAATACCAAATGTACGATCAGCGAGATATAACTGTTTAACTGGAATGTTTCCGTATGGACTTGATGTTGTTCTTGGGTGGCCACTCATGCTAAACGTCAAAGATCCTATCATGCCAAATGGTCTATACTTTGTAAAGTATCGTTGCATAAATTCTTCTTTGTTTTTATTCATATCTTCAGGTAATGGGAAAATAGCATCGTTGATATCACCTGTTAACGTGAATGGAGGTATATTTTGTTTAGATACATTCGGTGCTTTATTCAACCAGCGATGAAACAACAAAAGCGATGATTCAACATGTGGTATCTCTTGATTAGTTTCATTCTCTGAAATCATTTTTAGAAATAGACAGACACGTCATCACTAGTCAATCTTTTGCGAAAAATGAATTTGTCTCACCTTCATCGACCATGGACTCATCTTCCATTTCGTCTCGATCCGTTTCTGGTTCCTTTAATATATCTTTTACCTTTTCAATGCACTTTTTCATGTCGTCACCATCTATTTTCCCTAATTTCATTAGTTTTTTAACTCTTTTATTATACAAGTGCTTTCGTTGTTGTTCTGTTTGTTGTCGTACTTGTTGTAACTCATCAGACGTGTTTACTGTCGATTGTAACAGCGAGATATAACCAGGTTTCGTGATTTTCAACTAGGTAATAGTCTGATGGTCTTACTCGTTCAGAACAAAAAATAATTCTTACCACTTCTAACATTAATTTATCGTATTCTAAATTGAAATAACTATCCGATCCATACAAATAATAGCAAAGTTTTCCGATCATATACTCATGTAACCAACCGCTAACCGACGTATTAAAGTACTGAATATTCGTTAAAATAACTTTAGCATCTGCTCCATTAACAGCATTCGCGATTGCTTCTTCATTCTCTTGTGAACGATGACTAAGACATATGATAATACAATCACATTTATCAATTGGAATCATTGTTGTTGCAGTGTCTATCATCAGTGCAGAGAAACCATCATCAATAAGACGATCTGCTAAACGTTGACATCGAGCTTGGTCATTTGGATTATGCACCAACATGATATTGTAACATGTGATATTCATTGCTGCTCGAGGAGTAGAGGAATTGAGTCGTAGTGTTGTTTGTATTTGTAATTTTTGTTTTTGCAATGTATCTAGTAACTGAAAAAAATGGCAAAGTAATTGAATTATTAAAAAACAGCACAGTTGATATATAACCTACTCTGTACTTGTCTCTAACTTCTTGAATACGTTCAGGTGGTCCACACAATTCTATCACTTGCCTATTACTATTATCTAGGATTATTGAGAGAACACATCGTTCTTTGCAATAAAAATAATATGCATTAATTAGATGTTGATTCCATTGTTTAAAGGCTCTATCGTCATTCTTGAATTCTAATTTCGATTTAGTCATCAATCGCTTGAGATAACTTTCTATTTTGTTCTGACATTTTTTTAATGATTTACGGCTAGAACTTAAAAGCGTGATTTGCATAGCTAGAAAAAATGAAATCAAATGAAGGTTTAACGTCGACAGTGTCTCCATGTGATGAGTTACTTATCGTGGGAAATGAAAATTCTAGAAAACTGTGCAGTTTTTCCATTTCCGTAGCAAACATATCAAATAATTCTTTTTGATCATAGAAAAATACGAATGATACGTCAACAGTTGATGACCGTTCGAGTTGACGTTTCGTTTCTTCAACTATAGCGTTCGTAATAGTATCTTCTTTATCGTATAAGTCGGGGAGCGCAAAAGCGACTGATTCAGCGTTTAGCTGAGTAATAGCATATTGAATTGATTTTGCGATGAAGCCTTGTGCTGATCGTCGGAAAGTATTATCGTCACTGGTAATGGGTGGTGTCCAATTTGAGAATAAAATGCTTTTGCATAATAATTGTTTTGATTGTGCTTCAATAAATTTTATGTTTGATTTCTGTTGGTTGGGTTGATATGTCAATGTGTTTACATTTAAACCAGCTTGTTCAATGATTCTTTCGCACAGACCATTCGATGTTGATGGTACCACAATGACATCCGCCTGAAAATATTTTACGTTAAACAAGTCTCAAAAGGGATGTGCTATGAGGCAACTGTACTGCTGGCTATTCTAAAAAAATCATAGATCCCTAGGCTAATAAGTAAGTTCGATTTCTGACAGAAAAATTTTCAGATTTTTGTCAAGTAGATTTTCTAAAGTCCGGATTTATCGATCTTGAATGAATGATCCAATTTACCTTTTCTTTGGCGATATCTCCAATACAAACACTGATTGATCCCTTACTCAGTTGAACTTTTCTGATCACATCAGTGGATAAACCAAATAAATTTGACTGTGCAAGTAGAAATTTCGATGAAGCTTTCTCGATAGTGTTCGAATCTATTGCTTTTGGTACAATGTATGCTCTAGAGTTGTCTGTTGCGAACTCATGTTGATGGATATGACATTGATTGCGATGCGCAATGCACTGTAGACGTTCGATTTCTCTTTCAGCAATGGCTTGAAATATTTCAGCTGTCTGAAATTTCACGGTCTTCATGTTTGAAAATAAATCGTTGATTTGCGTGACGACTTCTTCTGTAACATACAACGGAGCTATAAACTCGTTTGATTTGATTTGTAAACTAACACCATCTGAGTGATACCTTCTTTCGATTTCTCTCACTGATGCTGAACATACGTGGGTTAGGTAATCCATCTTTAAAAATTAATAAAATCAACTTTTATCGACTGTGTTGATGTTCAAATACTTTCTGATTACCTGCATCGGATTAAGTTGTAAACTGAAAGTATTCAGTTGATACCGATTGAACCACTCTTTGTACTGTTGTTCGAATTCCCGAACGGTTTTATGATAACCGAATATTCTCAATTGTTGTCGCCTTTTTTGTTTGATAAACTTTGGCACATGATCATCAAGCATGTCAATCAGACGAATCGATATCATGTCTTCGGCAAGATTGTTTTCTTGTATCTTCTGTTGAAAATCTTCTGAACACTTGATTGTTTGCTCAGAATGAAATGGTAAGATTAATGTCACTTCTAATGCATTGTTCTTAATAGTTTCATTAATATTATGCATATAAAAAGGCATTTTATATTTAAAATAATGAATAACACACGTCTTGCTATTCTTTAATTCTATTACAACGAATTCCTTTTTGTGATTCAGAATATTTTGAATAATATCAACTGCACATCGATGATATGCTAGAAACGATTGTACTAAAATAAAAAATAAGTATCTAAATTAAAACAAGACATAAAGGATACGAAAACTTTTCTTACTTTTATCATTAGCACATACTATTTCTTTTTGAATTGACCGGAACATATTATCTAGTTCATTTCTACACGATTGGACACGTTCAGCAAATTCGCCTGAGATTTGAATCGTATAAGTATTTTCTTCTTCATCATCGTCTGGTTGTTTGATCACGATTAGTACAGCAAATGTCTTCTCGAAATACTTTTTTAGAGTAGAACAGAATTTAGGGTTGCTCATAAATTTCACTTGAATAGGATTATCTACTAGATAATCTTCTGTGATACCCATAGATCGAGATTTCTCAGCTGATTTGTAGGTTTTAGTCATTATATCTAGAATAGTAATAAAATGATATAGGAGCTGTGAGCTTGGGCCAGTGAGTCTGTAGACCGATGTATTAATGACTGTGGGTGTTTGGTTTAGAATATAACTGTAAATGTGCATATGTCCGGAGAAGTAGTCATGCTTCTTGCTCAATCGAAACGTGAAATAGTTCTTCAAACGAATGAAGTTGATTGAGCTACGTAGTTTGTGTGCTTCGTAGATTCCCAGAGTTCTGTGATTCGCCATTCCTTTTATCTTGTTTAGTCATAGTTTGAGTTGTGAGATCTTCAAGGATTCAGAAATCACAGAATACAGCCATGCCTCTGAGACATATAGTTTTGTAGAAGTACAATCATGTGTTTTTTTTTATAAAATAATTCATACTTACGATAGACATCTTTTAGGCTATCATAGCCATGACAAAACAAAACAATAATAATACGCAAAATATCTCTGTCTGTCGGTTTCTATTACATTTTTACAATAAGTACCTCTAGTTAAGAAAGAATTCTTTTCTGTCACAATGAAAAGAAGTTAGCAACAATGTTTCAAATGAATTTTTGTTGCTGGGAATTTTGAGAAGCAATATTTACTTTGTTTAAAAATAAACTATTGCTCAAGCGCGAATATAGTTATACGAGTTACCTGGCATTTTTATTTCTTTCTCTTGTATTTTATTTTAACATAACTGTGTTTGAGAGCACACTATGCTTTGCTTATATTTTTGTCGGCGAAAACGATGCTTGTGATAGGCTACCAGGCACTCCTGGAGGCACATGCAAAGAAACAAGAACGCAATTCAGTGACAGAAATGATTGCACTATGAGCTTGATTTTGTTTTAAAAAGTTATAATTGTCAACGTCTTCTCAAACTAGTGCTGCATTCTTCGCTTTGTTGCTTGAATTCTTTTTGAAATCGCATGAAGATGTGATTCAAGTTCATTTAGGTCCTGATCGAATTAACTGCGAGGTAGATGCAAATGCATCTAGAAACTTTTCGTCTTCGAGTAAACAACCACGCTGATCTTACGTAGTAAGTGGATTTTTGATATACGCTCTGTTATAGTTAATTACTAAAATTTCACTTTGAAAAGTATGAACAGAGAAGCTATTTGAATTTTTATCTCATGATTAATATTTTCAAAGAAACTCGCACGTGTTTACAACTTACCGAGAGCACATTCTTGAAAAGATCAAACACTAAATATTTTCCCATTTACAATAATATACTTGATGAAAATTTCGCGTGAGAAAATTTCTTCACTTTTTTTTATTGTTGGAAGTCATAAAAATGAATACGAACTAATAAACCTCGTCATATCTACAATTAACTTAATAAGAAAATAAAAGTTTCAGTATGCTACTATTTGAATCATTTTCTATTAGAATAAACAATTCAGAGAATAGAAGAAAATATATGAAGTATTGAATAAAATGCGTTCATGCATTATTCTATGTCCCTCTCCAGAAAGACTTCTTATTGACTGATCGCCGCGATATTTACTTTATAGCATCGCTGTGTTATAAGTAGGGGTGGCACTTTTTCTTTCTTTTGCTTTCCAAAAAGAAAGAAAAGGAAAGTTGAAAAACTCTCTATTGCTTTTCTTCGTCTTCTACAAGATAGAGTTATGTTTCTTGTTCACTTCCATTTAAAAAAAACTTAGGAAAGCCGAAAATAAAGTCGAAAGAAAGTGAAAAGAAAGCTGCATTTATTTGTTTTTCAAGGATTTTGCCCTTGGTGATGGGGAAATTCTCTACAAACTTACTCTTTTAAACTGACCCTTAATAGTTCTACAGAAAAAATAAAAATGATTGAAATCCGGGTAGATCAATAGGCTAATTTTAACGTTTAATAATAATAAAACACCGATACTAGTAAGGTACCGAAAATGTTAAATTACAGTAGAGTTTTCTTTTCTTTTTTTTTATACATGGTCAGATAGAGTGCGTCGAGCTGATCAAGGATATATCTTGTCATCCTTTTGTCGAATTAACTTTTAGCGGAAATTTTTCAATTTTTTTCATTTGTTTTATATTCAGCATAAAAAAGAAATCTATGGTAGTGATTTATAAATGACTATCATTGATTTTTTTTTATGCTGAATATAAAACAAACAGTATTAAATTTAAAACAAATGAAAAATTTGAAAAATTTCCACTAAAAGCTCATTCGGCAAAAAGATTAAAAGATATATTATTGATCAGCCCGACACACTCTATCTAGCCATATATAAAAAAACGAAAAAAAATTCTACTGTAATTTTGCATTTTCGGTATCTTGCTAGTACCGGTGTTTTATTCTCATTGAAGATTAAAATTAGCCTATGGATCTGCCAGGAACTGAATTGTTTTTCTGTGCAAATATCACGGGTCAATTTGAAAGAGTAAGTTTGTACAGAATTTTCCCATCAACAAGAGCAAAATCCTTGAAAAACAAATAAATACAGCTTTCTTGTCCCTTTTTTCCTTTCGTTCGACGTTTTCTAATTTTTTTAAATGGAACTGAACAAGAAACATAATTCTATCTTCTAGAAGACGAAAAAAGAAAATGAAGGCTTTTAACTTTCCTTTCCTTTTGTTTTTGAAATGAAAGCCCGCGCCCCCCCCC